CAGCTATTAAACACTCAACGATTCTGCAACCATCAAAAGGAATCAAGATACATAAGTTATACCGTTAGATAGCCCTGTTTCCTAGCTATCTAATGGTAGTCTTTATGTATCTCAATTCTAACTGTTAGTACTGGTTTTTGGAATATAAATAAGAGAGGTTTTTCCTGAGTTTTCCTGTACTAGTAATTCAATTCAACGAACATATTTTAACAAGCAAATTTGATCAATTTGATCCTTTTTACCCTTTGTTACTAGACCAGTGATAAGACTAGCTACCTTATAGCTTCAAAGTCTTATATATATATATTACCTATAACCTAGAATAATAAAAATTTAACTTTATAAAGTATAGTAATAATAATAAGCTATAAGAAATTAACTAAAATAACCTTTAAAAATACTATAAGCTTACTATTAAATATATACTTAAACTTAAATATACCTAATATAAATACTATAATATTTAAAATAAAAAACTAAGATAAATTACCTTAGACCTAAATAATATTAATATTAACCCTTATGGTAATAATTATTATAATAGCGTTAATAATCTAACTTACTATAACTTAAATACCTTTATAAAAGGAAAGAAATTATAAAAATTCTAAGTACTAGGTACTTTAAAAAAATATTTAATTATAATTTATATAAACTCTGGAGCTATAATAAGCTATATTATACTTTAACTAATTAACTACCTATAGTTAAATAATTATAAAAAAGAGAAACTATATATTTTTATAAATATTAAAAAATAATAATTTACTTATAATAATAAAACTATTAATTATAAAATTAATCTCCTTAAGATCTAGTTTAGTAAAATTAAAGATATATTTAGTTTTAATATTATAAATATTATAGAATATAATATACTCTTAAAATATAATTAGCTTAAGTTACGTAACCTTAATATTAACTAGGTTAAAGGCTAGGTAAAATAGTAAATTTACCTTAAATTAATTAATTTTAGAAATATACTATAATTAAATTAAAAGGATTAATAAAATACTATAATATCCTTAATAATAAAATTAGTAACCTTTATATTAAAAAAAGAAATATAAAAATATATAAAAAAGAAAAAAATTATAAAATAAGTATAATTTAAGGAGCTAAAAAAGCTCTTAAGAATAGTTAAATATATTAAAAAACCTAAAAAAAAATAGCTTAAATTTTTAAACTTAATTATATAAAAAGTTAAGGAATTATATTACTAAAACTAATAAATACTAAAATATTTAAAGAATATATTAATAAACTTTTAATATATACTAGTCTTTAATAAAAAATTAAATATTAAATTATTAAAATATAATTAATAAGATTATAAAATTAAACTTATAAATAATAAAGTACTAACATGTAATAAAATTTATAACCTTAGTATTATGAAGTTTAAAATACTTAATAAATAAATTAAAGATTAGCTAAAAAAGGGTTATATTAAACTTTTTAAATCTTTAGTAAAATATTTAGTTATATTTATACCTAAAAAAAATAGTAAACTTTAACTTATTATAAACTATTAATAATTAAATATAATAACTAAAAAAAATATTATACTACTATTATTAATTTTAAAAATTAAAAACTAGCTTATAAAAGCTAAGATTTTTACTTTACTAAACTTTAAAAAAGTATATAACCTTATTTAAATTAAAAA